ACACACACACACACACCAAGCCTGTCAGATACACACACACACACACAGTCAAAACTACAAAATAGAGCATCAACTTCATTCTACTTCTTTATCTGTAAAACAAAACACATCGCACTCCTCTGTATGACCACTTTGACAGTTATCTTCTCATAAACATATTCACAAATCTCTCAAATAATTGCATCATTTATCACATATTACCTGTGAGCTTTTAAGCTGCCTTTGTGCGAGGGACTGCTGCACTCAAGCTGACAGAATGATGACAAGGCTTGACTTTGAAGCTTGAAGAGACTACAATAACAACTTGCTCTGAGTGTAAACTCACAGTGACAAGTGGTGAGGGGCAAGGCTATTATTGTAATGTGTCAAGTTTTATTTGGTTCATTTAAATGGACAGTAAGATAATGATAATAAATACTATATAAACCAATGTGTTGGGTTTGTGGACGCTGTATACCTATAGCCCCAAAATGGGGACTTTTACTACTGTTGTGGGTTTGCCTACTCATTAAATATCAGAACAGCAGCAGGTTGTACACCTTAGCAGATTGTTGGAAAGTCAGCTCTCATTCCAAGTTGCTTTATTCAGGGGGTGTGGACACTTCCTCACTCTTTTACCACTGCTGGTGAGTAGTGCTGAAAGAGCTGTGGCATTGGAGAGATGTCTCAGAGTCCTTTTTAAATGGTGTTATTTCTCCTGTTTGCAAGGTGAATGAGCAAGACAATGGCCAATTTTGTGAAGTCTTGAGAATAAATAAAAATAAACCTGCTGTTAAGTTCAGAGTGATACTATTGTTGTTTGAATTTGTCCCTGATGAAATAAAACTACATTGACAATTTGGAAAAGTGACTTTTTTTTTGTCTTTACACAGAATAATGGTTAGATGATACATTGTTAAATCAAAGCAACTAATTTGTGAGGGGTTGAAGAGGCCATTGTTACTGTATCCTTTTAAATTAAGTAAAACATGTATACGAATCAGCTGCATTAAGTTCATTAGTTATTTTTCTTACTGGTTCCTGTAACAACCAAACAAATGTCTTTGACTTTTAGTTACTACAAGACCAAGCTGGTAAAGTGTATTTCAGAGGGGAAAATGGATGTTCAACCTTAACTGAAGCTTTGTGTTTCAACATTATAGTATATGCAATAATCTTGAATATTTTAAGTACTTAAACAATCCCATTATATAGTGAGTAGCAGTTTGGCAAGAAACAATTTGGGTGTTATTTGTTCACAAAAAATAGTCTATGAAAAATAACCTTTACAGTCATTCAAGCTGATAACAAATCCACTTCAGGTTGTTTGAAATATATTCTATAGCAAGATTGCAATAATTTGCCACTAAACAATACAACCAAATAGCTTGTGTTGGATCAGTGGCCTAAATATCAACTGTTACTAAAATCTGACACTTTAGGTTTCATAGCAAATTACAGTGAGTCTTTCAGTGCCCTTCATGGTACCACTAGGGGGCACCAACATTGTACATATTCAATTCTACACATTGGCTTTCAGTTCTTCGAATTTGTAAAGCAGTTTCAAATACATATGGAAACGGAAAAAAACAAATGAGTCAGATTTTTATATTTGACCTGTTTTATTTACTAAAAATATGGACACATTTGCTGCATATAAAACTGATTATGTGTAGCAGGAGAGCATGGACATAGACAAGAAAAGAGACAGGATAACTCAGATTATAGATTATGAAGTGCAAAGACGTCGAACAAAGGAAATACAGTAAATAAAGTATACACAGTTCACCAGTTATTGACAGATACAGATGTTATGTTAAATGATGTGGTTTCCAGAGCAAATTAAAAATGCAGCTGTTCAGCCGATGAGCTGTTTGGTCCTCTTGTCTTTTTGACGAGCCTTTTCTGGGCCTTTCTGTGGGGGGTTAGCGTCGCTCTGGCTGAGCGCAGTCCGCGTCACCGTGGACATGCCGTCGACAAACTTCGTCTTGAACAGGACATTGGCGTTGGTGAACATGCCATCCTTGAGGGACACCACCACAAACTGCAGGGGAGAGAATTTAAAAAGGTAACTTGAGTACAGGTTTTGCTCTGATAACATTAGAGAATGTGGAGAAAAAAATCTTTAATAAGTGGCTCTTCTGCACAACTATTTAAGGCTTAGTAAGGATAATAGAGAGTGTGCATGTGTGTTTCAACATACCTGGGAGTGTCTGAAATGTGTGCGCAGCATCTGTCCAATGTTCTGTGTGTGCGACAGATCCAGGGCAGCATCCACCTCGTCTAAGATGTAGATGGGAGCGGGTTTGAACAGCAGCATGGCCAGGATGAGAGACAAGGCCACCAGTGATCTGAAAACACAGACACAAAGCTCAATAAAAGAAAATTAAAAACTTAATTGTCATCCATGGAAACATGCCACTTATTCTACTCTTTAAACCTAATAAAAGGAGTTTTAACTGTTATTAATTCATTTTTAATTTAACACTGATGCCTCTGTATTCCCTACATAAGCACACAAGACCATCAGGGAGAAGATTTGCTGTCAGTCTATATAGTTATTAATGCTCGCCACCTGGTCACATTCCCCTTGAAATCAATGAAACGAGGCGGAAGAAAACACTGCTGCTTTTGCCAGAATCATCAGAAAAGTTAAAATAAGTGCTTTTGCCAACCTCTGCCCACCGCTGAGCTCAGTGAGGTTCTCCTTCCAGGTGTTGCCCAACGCCACCTTGAACTCAAGGCCCTCCAAGACGCCGCCGCCCTGGGGAGGAGCCAACTTAGCAGTGGCCCCTGGCAGCAGAGTGGAGAAAATAGAGCCAAAGTCCTTGTTGACCTGCAGAGAGGAAGGGAAGTATTACAGCCTGAATAAAAGAAACCACAGGCACCACAGTGATGTCTATGGGAATAAATGATTTATCAGTGAGTGAGAGTGTATTGACCGATTCTGACACTGGTGAGTTTGTCATGCTGTTGTTGATTGATTGGTTTCACTCCCACAGATAAAGAATAAACATAGGGAAGAGTCGAGATGTAGAAAGGCATTAGAGGAGAGGAGATGAGGAGCCAATTAGATCTATCTATATCGATAAATAGTTTTATGACTCATCAAGCAAATTAAATATTAAAGACACATTTACACTCATCCTCATTGCTATAAATGGGGTGGACAAAATAATAAAAAACAGCTGTCACTATTTATTGCATGAAGTTGAATTAGACTGACGAGCGATATCTTATAAACCCGCAACTGAGTGTATACTGTCTCTCTGTGTACAGTCCTGTTGGCCAAAGGGACAAATGTAAATGTAGGACCCCCCCCCCCCCAAAAAAAAGTAAACAAAAAAGAGTAGACCTTCCGCCATGCCAAGTTGAGAGCCTCATTCTTCTTCTGGTCCAGCTCCTCGATGGTCTGCAGGATTTTTGCTTTGTCGTTCTCCACGATCCTCTTCTTCTTCATCAGGTCATTGTACTGCAAGAGGGAAGATAATTGTGCGGGGCTGATTCAAACAGTCAAAGCTTTAACTGAATCTCCAAAACCCTTTCTGTGTCTCGGTCCTCACCCTTTCTTCTGCCTCGTTCAACATGTTCATGGCCCTCTTGTTGACGTTTCTCTCCAGCTTGGTGGTGGTCTCCTCCAGCTTCTTCAGCCGTTGACCAGCCTCGCGGGGGTTGTTGGTCTTAAAGTCATACGAAGTGTTGGGCTGGCCGAAGAACTGACGCTCCGAGTGGATCCAGTCGTGCTCCTCCAGCATCCGAGACACCTGGAGGGAGGAAGGAAGGAAGGAAGGAAAAAGAGAATGACAGATAAAAAAAAATCCTCAGCTGTCCTGGTAATTCCTTTGAAGACAGCCTGAACTGATGCCTTCTGGGTGATTCAGAAAAGAGAGCCAAAGACTCATTTCCCCCCCCAGTTGGGATTCTTAATTTGCACAGGAAATTGCAGCCTCTGATGTTGATGTACAACAATGTATCTTCCACTGCTAGTGTATCATTTGGATGACTCATCTGGTAGGCACTGTTTTTACAGAATGTCTGATAACTTGTGTTGTTAAAAGCCCCATCTGCAAACCAAATTTTTCTTGCAGGAAAATAAAGATGTTACTAAATACATGACTAGGTTCGTATTATGCATTATTGGAGTTATATTACATAATCAGATATGGCATTTTACGTTGTGTTACAAACAATGTCAGATGCACA